AAGTCTCTCTCAGGGAGGAGTGATAGGGAATGGCAAAGGACACACTGACAAAGGAGATTAATCAGAACTGGCTTTGACAAGCACTGTGGCAATTAGACAATTAAAACAGACTTATAAGGGGGGGGAAATGAAGAACGAACTGGGGAGGAGGGTAGAAAAAATAGTTCAGCAATGAATGAATGATGAAAACCAAAAATCTCCATTAAAATTAATAAAATTTAATAATTAATAAAGAAGTAGGTATCCTGATTTCCCAACCCATGCAACAGAAACTCAGCACAGATAGCCAAGTAATTCCACTGTTTCCCAAGGTTGAGAGAAAGGATTTTAGGTGTTGTAGACCTTCAGAGAATTCCCTCTCCACCTTGATGTCTCATTTTATATGCCATCTTTCCAACTCTGTGAAACTGAAGCAAAGTTCTATGAACAAACAACAAATATATTTTTTGCTTTCCCTTGCCATGTTGGTAGGAGAGGCTATTACTTGGAGGGACATCAAACTTGGGAAGGTGGAGGGTCAGTGAAACAAAAGAAAACTCCCAACAAAATGGACTGACACATTGACTGCAGCAATGGGCTCAAGTGTATCAGAATGGTAAGAATGGCACAGGCTAAGACAGGGTTCATGTCTATTGTTCGTAGGCTCTCTATGATCTGTACTTGACTCAACACTGAACAACAACTGCTAATACAGAAGTATCTCTACTTCATTGGAATCATTAACACAAGCAAATGTGAAAAAACACACAAACAATTATAAGCAATATTTACCAAGTTCATATGAACAATATTTCCTATAAACACAGTTCTTAAGCAGCAGTACATGAACAAAATAGAAATAACTACAGAATCAAGAAAAGACTTGAAATGTTATTCTCTTGGGCTGAGACTATGCATAATTTTACAAATTATACTTTTCTTGGGACATATTTTATTCTTAGACTCTATTTAAACTATGAATTCATGCTTAAACATGTAGTGATGAACACTTTACATGAGGTGAAAAATTCCAATAATGAGGAAAATCTTTAAAAATCTACAACAGAAGGTCAAGAATCATGCAATCTGGAGTGACCATCTACAAAAATGACCCACTTAATGTTTATCAAGTTGATTCCAACCCATGGAAAGCCTCCATCTGGTTTCTTAGGCTGTAAATCCTAATGGAATGGAGATTGCTTCATGTTTCTTCTGCTGCCTAGTGTGTTTGAACTGCCAACCTTTTTGTTAGTTGCCCAAAACTTAATCTACTATACCACAAGAGTTCCATACCAAAACAACTACCAAAAAACCCAAACCCCCAACCACCTAGTTACTGACAACTCCTGGAAATCCTCCCTTGGTTTCTGAGGCTGATTTTTCACAGGAAGAAATGTTCTGCTAAAGAGTGACTAACATTTCAGACTGCTGACCTTCTAGTTAGGAGCCGGATACACCACCAGGGCTGTTAAACCGCCCCTGCTACATTACGAAAGCACCTTACCAAATTAGTTAGGAAAGTAAAATGATGATTTAAATATCATTCCATTCCAAACATGGACCTACCTGAATCATATGCAAAATCTCTGGGTTCCTGTTTAATCATCAGAGGAGGAGGGAAGCTTTGGCTGCCAGCACTGCCAACCATGGTGTTATGTTCATACACTGGGTCATGATACTCCTGCTTAAAGCCTTGAGGTGGGAAGGGGATGTTTGGCTCAGACATCTGACGTTGGTAGATAGGACGTCCTTCCCTTGGCATTGTTGGCAAAGGAGGAAAGGAATTGCAGGGTTCAGAAAGCTGGCGACGAAATCTGGTAATAAGAGTGCACATGTCAGTATAAATTGGCTACAATAACTATTCTTTAAAATAGTGACTTTTTAGAAACTGCATAATTTAATGAGCCTGATACTGGCTGACCCAAAGTGCAAATCTTTGGCGAGACTTGATTTCTTTCCTAGTTCAGTAGCACAGTGCTTTTTAATCATAACACAACATGTTTCGATCAGCCCCTTAAAACACCTCTTAAGTACATTACAATGAGTCAAAGGTGTGTGGGAAATAGAGTTAGGAGGCATTATTTTACAAAAATCTATACCCTAAGAACTAATATGCCTAATTCTACATACATTGGATTATTTATATAATGTCTACATCAAATAGTTCGCACATAATTACAACAGAAATCAGGGAAAACAATGTTTCTGGTCTCAATTCTATTGTTTAACATCAAACTGAAATCTGTTGTTTATAGGGTCATTATGAGTCATAGATGACTGGAATGTTACCTAACAACAAAAAGAAAGAGCAAATAAATAAAACATAGCCACCCAAATCTACTTATTGGTTACGTTTCCATTACTGTAAATTACTGAAGAAGCAAGAGAGGAATCCTTGATTTTCTTCTGTAAAATACAGAACTCTAAATCCTCAAAAGTGCCCTAGTTAATATGCCCTCCTTGAGAGAAAGAAAACAGGATATTATGATGGCTGAAATAGAAAGCTGATTTCAAAAGATCACTTCTTTACTGTTATACAGCAATGTTGGGTTCTAATAGCATCAGATAAAATTTCATGAAAAATAAGCATGAACAATACTGTAGACTTCCAAAGATAAAAGAGCATTTACACATTGCACAGATTTGGGGTAGGTCTCATTGTTAGGCCTCAAGGAAGCTCTGAGGCCTTAGCAGAAGGCTGAGCGAGTCTCCATGCTTCTGGCTTGGTTACACTGCTTAACGATTGGCTAATCACATAATCGTTCTGTTGTGTACTTTCATCCATAATATCATTGACCCACCACAAAGATGGGGATTAATTAAAGATTTAAAAGTGCTCTAAATATGCCCTAGGAGTGCTTAAAAATAACCTACCCAACATTTCTATGAGCAAAAATAGTTCACTAAACTGCCATCCCCTCCCCTACTAAAATCATTGCTTAGACTTTAGGTGGAGATGTGAGCATTTCATCTTGGTAATGTTAAATGAAAGTAAGGTAAAAGCTAAAGAATGGTGAGGCAATTGTTTCAGGATTTCTAAGAATGCTGCAGTCTGTGATTTAACTCTAGGCTCACTGGCTTCCACGGGTAGCACTGAAATTCCACCTACACCTGCAGAAAATAAACTTAGAAACTCAAAGATCACAAAACAGTTAGACTGACTGGCACTGCATTCATTTCCCTTCTCTTGCTTATTTCATTAGCCAAAAAAAGAAACAGAAATTACCATTAAGAACTGTCAAGGAGTGAATCAGAAAATTGTAACTTGAAGTTAAAATAAGAAACCAGCTCACTTGTGAAGCCTTATAAGGAAGTTAATAATACTTGTACTGAAAGCTTTGTAAGGAATCAAGCCGTTTGTTTTCACGACTTGACCTGATTCTGGTTGGTGCTTGCTGGGGACCATTTAGAAACCAAACACAGACGCCGTATTTTGTGGATACAATTTCATGAGCCACACTGACCTGTGGCAAATAGAAAGTGATCCTAGACGCTTCTACAAGAGAAGTCATGGTATTGAGCGTGGGGAAGAGGTTAAGGGTAGATGTGGTGGGCAAGAGAAAGGCGACAGGGTTCCTGCACAGTGGGTTCAGGAAGAAGTGCCAAGGGGCTGACCAGAGGAGCAGAGCAGGCCTGAGGAAAGGAAGCGGGGTGCAAGCCAGTTGGCCACAAGCATTCTCAGAGTGAGGTGGGGTGCCTGAGCCTGAGGTGGCTATCTGGGAAAGGATCTATTCCCAGAGAAAATGTGTCACTTACGACTAAGAGACTGTCATTCGTTGGCCGGTACCCTTCAAGAAATCCTCCTCAGAAACATAAGGCTGCAGAGATTTTCCTGGGACTGACCAGCTGGTACTGTACTCAAAACTCCATGGGGGGCAGAGGGAAAAGACCTCGAGCTTCCCTCATGTAGTTCCGGGCCGGCTGTTCTCAGTCTCAAATGTTCAACTTCAAGTAGAGAAATTAAAATGGATTTGGCTAAAGCATCACAAGTTAGGTCACCTAAAAACAGACACACTGTGTGCTCAGCAGGCACCCTTCAGAGACAATGAGCGCTCTGCACCGAGAGCTAGCTACACGGTCAACAGTCCTGGTGCTCATTGGAAATGGGAAAGAAGTGGTCAAGAGCTCTGAGAAGTCACCAGAAGTGGGCAAAAGAAAATTCTCGCTCTTTCCCCAGCCCTCTCCTTTCAGTCTTGCACAATGTGTTTCTGTTTAATGGCCCACCCCGCAAGAAGAATTCTTTCATCTGTATTTACCAAACTGTTTACACAGATGCACATGGTATTATGCCTGACAAGGTCTCAAGTCTACCGGATGAGAAGGGAATAGCAAGCATTTAATAACTAAAGCATAAGAGGGGCTAGTAATGGAAACAAAGGTGGAACAGGCATGACTTCATTTCATATTTGAAAGAATGCTTTGATCTTATCATTCCATGCCAAAAAAAGTGTTACTTACTTTGAGATTAAGTCTCACCAAATAAACCTATAAAAAGCAGTTTTGAGTGCTCCCTGATTCTCAGAAAGGTACCAAGGGCATAGCTTCTGCTTTTTGTGCTGATCTAAAGGATTTATTTAGCTGAGTTATTTTTACAATAATGGTGTGTTAGAGCTGGTTTGCACTGGCTTTTGAGAGCAGACTGTTAAATTTTAGGGATTTTGTAAGCCAATTGTTAATGCAGCTATTATTTAAAAAATTAAATCACATGGACTTCTAATTAAAAGTATTACATTAAAATCAAAGGCAATAAAACTCAAAATTTACCACTTTCTAGTTTTTACCACATTTCTATACTAACTACATACTTTTGAAGTGATTTATGTCCATTATATTTTCATCGTAGAAAAACTATACAGTAGTATGCTAGTGGATGTCTCTCTTACAACTCCACATTCAATGACATCACACTGGTAGCTTGTAATAGGCCATGAAGACATTATTACATCAAAGATTTGGAAAATGCTACAAATCAGAGTCTATTGTTAAATACTTACCGGTAAACTACTACTTATTTGTAAGTACAAACAAAAGATAGAAAGAAGGATACTATATGTGATCAACCTATGTATTAAATGAAAGGTGAGGTAGTGTTCAAGATCTTCTAAGCATTTTCATACAGTTTATTTAAATATTAATCTTTTTGCCTGTAAAAACCAAGAATTTCCATCTTTAACATCCTCCCTAACACCACACACTGTTTATTGTATTGCCTTGATCCTTTAAATGACACTGAGATTCTCAACATTTTATTTTCTTAGTGTCCAATTCATGCATCTTTGAATTTAATATTCCTCACTTACAAAATGCATTGAAGTCATTTCAATAACTCCATCTTACTTGGATCCACAATAAATACAATTGGCACTAGCAGTCAGATCAGGAGACGTATTTCACTGGGAAAATCTTCAGTCAGGGACCACTTCAAATATTGAGGAGCAATAATGTTAGTTTGAGCACTAAGGTGCACCTGACTCAGACTATGGTCTTTTCAATCATCTACTATGCATCTGAGAGCTAGACAAAAAATAAGGTTAACGAAAGAAAAATTGATGTTTTTTGAGTTATGGTACTGGAAGAGAGTACCCCTTGTACTGACAACAGAACAAATAGATTTGTCTTGGAAAGGGTAAAGCCAGTTTGCTCCTTGGAAGCAAGGATGGAGAAGCTTTGTCTCACATACTTTGGACATGTTGCTAGGGGAGGCTGCTCTTTGGAGGACATCACTGTTGGAAAGTTGGATGAATGGTGAGTAAGAGGAAAACCCTCAACCAAGTGGATTAACAGTGACTGCAGCAGTGAGCTCAAGTGTGTTAGAGATTGTGAGTTTAGCACAAGATAGGACAAGGCTCAGATCTATTGTTTATAGGGTTGCTATAGTCGTACTCAACTCAAAGGCACTAAATAAGAAATAATAATAACAATGACAACTTGCCAAGTATGGCATATATTTTTATCAAATAAGTTTTATTCTGCAAACTCTACATGGCTGAATCCTTCAATCTAAAGAACCTAATTCTATAAATCATCCACTAAAATTAGTTCCTAACTTAATAGAACAAGTACACATATGCTCATAAAAATGGGATGATCTGATTTAAAGTTTAAGTGAAGCAATTTAATTCAAGCAAGTGAAAGAAAAATATTCAAATGTCAGTATAGAGATTAATTTTCCATTTTAGCATCCAATTTAAATGTTTAGAAAGGGAATGTAGATAAATGACCTTCTCTTCAAATTATTTATAACTACAGATAGAACAAGCTCTTTCTAAAAATATTTTTCCCTATTGTGCAAAAATAGTGCATTCATCTGAAATCAATGATGAGAGCTTCAGAAGAAATAATAGGAATTGCTTTCAAGAATGCTAAAAGCAATTTGAAAAAATGGTATCTGCCATTTACCTGTGATCCATGGGGTAGCTGCTATCTTGGATGGACTGCGATGGAGGGAGATGAGCTGGGAAGGCCCGGTCTGGTTTAGGAGTGTGAGTTGAATTTGGAGACGCATGATGCAGTGGGGACACTGGAGTGCTGGATGGTGTTGGGGGATTGGAGGGCCTCATTCCCACTTGTGGCTTCTGATCATAGGCACTACCCAAGGAGTAAAAGAAAAGAGAGCATTTGTTTCTCTAGAAGAAATTTAAAAATATTTTTCCAAACCAAGGAAAGAGAAAGCCCTAGTTACAACTGAAATATATGGGTTGGTTTTTTTTTTTTATGTTTTATGTTACATAGAACATATGAACTCCAAAATCATCACACCATTTCATAAACAGTTATGTAAGACATAAACTGACTGGTAATTACAGATTATATATATTTTTTATTTTTTTAGTTAGTGTAAAAACAAATGAGTATGAAGAAAACTGTCAATGAAAGCAGAGGCTTACATCCACCTATCCTTCATAAAGCAACCGTATGCTTTGATAATGATTTTTAAAAAATGAACTTGAGCATGATAGATATCTTGAGAATGACGCAGCAGAGGTCAATGTTCTGATCTGTTGTTTATAGAGTTGCTGAGTTGTAGTTGACTTGACAACACCTAATAACAACAATCCTTAACTTAGACATATTTCATTTTATTGTACTTCCCTTTATTGCACTTTCCAGATGCTGTGGGGTTTTGGTTTTATGGGGGGGGGAGGGTTGTTTCTTTAACAAACTGAAAGTTATTGGCAACCCTGAGTTAAGCAAGCAAGTTTTTTGGCATCAATCTTTTTCCACCAACACATGCTTATGTCGTGTCTCTAAAGCAAATTTACTTGGTTTTGCAATATTTCAAACTTTTTCATTATTATTATAATAATCTCTAATCAGTGACCTTTGATGGTACCATTGCAATTGCTTTGAGAACTTCACCTACTGGAGATCCTTAAACTATCAGTGTGTGTGTTCTGAGTCCTCCATTGACCAGGCTGCCTAGTCTCTCTCCCTCACCTATCAAACAACCACAACAAAATCAAGAATATCGAAATCAACAACAACAACAACAAAAACTCCAAATAAAAAAACAGTCCAATGTCAATGAGTTGATTTTGAATCATGGTACCACTCCATCAGGTTTCTAAATGTGTGTAGGAAGAAGCTTTCTTCACTAGAGCTGATGAATTTGAACCTTTGAACTTTAGGTTAGCAGTCTAAACACAATGTACTACGTTGCCAGGGTTATCTCTTAAAGGTTTTCCCTATTCCTTGAGATAATATTGAAGTTAGCCCATACAGTAATCCAACAGTGGTCAACAAGATATTAAGTGACAGAAAGTAAATGGATACAGCAAAATTCATTATCTTAAAAATTGCCACAGCTACCCCAAATGCTGAATCTTCTACTGAAGATTATCCAAAAACGACTGGAACAGCACATCAGCAGAGAACAGGCAAAAGTCCAGGCTGGCTTTATAAGATGTCGTGGTACGAGGGATATTGCAACTAATGTTAGATGGATCTTAGCTGAAAGCAGGGAATATCAGAGGAATATCTATCTGTGCTTCATTGACTATCAAAGGCATTTGACTGTGTGGACCATAACAAACTGTGGCTTACTCTGAGAAGAATGGGAATCCCAGAACACTTGATCGTGCTAATGTGAAACCTATACTTGGACCAAGAGGCAGTCTTCAGAACACAGCAAGGAAACACTACATGGTTCAGAATTGGGAAGGGTGTATGCCAGGGATGTGTCCTGTCTCCATACCTTTCCAAACTGTATGCAAAACAGATTATTCGGGAGGCTGAGCTCTATGAGGAGAAATGTGGGGTCAGGATTGGTGGAAGATCTATCCACAATCTGTGTTATGCAGATGACACAACCCTGCTTGCTGAAACTGAGGAGGACCTCATGTATTTGCTACAGAGGGTCAAGGACTGCAGCCTTCAATATGGATTGAGGCTCAACGTCAAGAAGACAAAGATTCTCACCACTGGACCAATTGGCAGCCATCAGGATGAATGGTGAAGAGATTGAATTGTTCACACCTTTAGTTTGCTTGGCTCCACAGTCAACATTCTTGGCACCAGTAGACAGGAATTAAAAGACATATTGTGATGGGAAAGTCTGCTATTAGGGACCTCTCCAAAATACTGAAGAGAAACGGTGTGTCTCTGGAGACTAAGGTGT